GCAGAGGGTGCGTTTCTTGTTTTTAGTGGCGCCATCTATGGTCAAGAATACGATTTCAGTCACAGACACGTCACAGTCCATTTCACAGGGCGTTCATTTATACATCCATTCACTCCTCCACAGATTGTAATTTTGATCTAAACCAGAAAACGACCACTCTTCAATATAGTTCCCCCTGAGGTATTGATTTGTTATAGGAATTTGGAGGACTTTGTGACCCCGGAAGATTTAGTCACGCCGACACCAGTCACCATTTATTACACGGGGTTTCTTCGACTTGTGGGATTCGAACTCCTATTCTCACGAACAAGAGTTCAATCCTACCAACCAGGCTATCGCCACCCCTATATTGTAGTCATAAAGAATATATTATTTTCTTCTCCGCCTACTTGGATTATATAGTTAAAATCAGTTTAGTACCTCATGTTCGGTATAATTTTTATATTAAGCCACTTTGAATTTTAAAGCTTAACTTATTATGGCACAAACTCTAAAATAAATAATTCAAAGTTTACTGTGGGAGCTTATGACAAGTACTGGTTTGTTAGAATACTTAGGAAAACTTAAATCCTCTAAGCGCATTTTATAAAAAAGAAAAAAACTCTTTGTTTTTCTAAACTATTTAAATTTAGTAAGGTTTGAAAAGACTTTAACAGACGGAAGTCATGCATTATTCAATCTTCAAGTCTAATGAAAGAGTATAATGTTTTAGTAAATATTTTATTATTATGTAATTATAAATGCAGTTGTTTTAAATCTTTTTGATAATCAGGGATTAGTTTGTTTAATACTAAGTATCAATGATTTCGGGTAAGTTTCTGAAAGAATGCTTTCTAATACTTTTCAAAATGTACAGTGTTAACAAAATGGACCACCCTAAATATTTTTAATCTTATCTTTATGTTTTAGGACTTAATTTTAATGGTTCGAGGTCGTTAGGAAAATCGTATATTTAATATTCGTTTTCTCACGAACTAGTTACACGATTTTGCTCACGTTTTGTATCTTAGATCTGTATATTTAATTACATACTTTAAAATGATGCAAAAATTTATATACCTAACAATTCAAAATGTTTCAATTATTATTAAATAAAATAATAAATATTTGATAAAATTTATTTCTCACTTGAAATTATCTTTGGACAAACGAATTTTATAATTGCGTCGCTTAAAAACGTTGTTGAGCTATGGCGAAATACGCAAAAAGTTAAATTAACATTAAGGTGTCCAAACTTCGATGATCATTCTCCTGGATTTTTCTCCTGACTGAACTATGGAGACCATATTTCTCAAATTGGGCTAACCCTTATATTTTGGGAGTCAGAAATCTGAATCCATAGAAAAACAGGTTTGCATATTTAGAGAAAGTACCTTCTTGTGCCTGAATTCGTAACTTAAAATATCGTCTGCACTTATTAATTAGCTTATTTGAGGTCACCCCCTAGAACTATTAAGATTGACTCCTAGAACGTGAAAATTTCATCATTAAATCAAAATTTATTCCGGGTGGTCCGTTTTTTTTAAATCAAATTTATTAATTATTTATTTGGATATCAAATTAGATTCTAGATTAACATTTCAATGTTCAAAACAGAATTTTTAAATAATATTTTGTTAATTGGTAATAAATGACGTGATACCAATTTGAAAATCCTCAAAACCTTTTCCTTAAATGCTTTTAATTTTGCTTGAAAAGAAAAATCGCAAAATTTTTGACATTAAAAACGCAATGCGAATTGCCAAACATTTATTAAACTCTAAAATATGCTATATTTTCAGACATGAAGTATTTTTTAGGTTTTTATTTTTTTAAAATTGAAACAAATTATAATTTTTCTACTTAATATCGTCAAAAATAATGAGTCGATAAATAATAAGTTGAATATAAACTTTGAAATAGCCACATTATTTACGCAATTCTTACAATCTATGAAAAAAAATGCTGTACAATTACCACTAATTTTGGTAATGAAATAAACTAAATACAATTTTAAGTACCGATCTGCAGTTTTTGTGCAAAATGTTTAATAAAATCGATACAATTACAACTGTTTTAAGGAACTAGTGTGAATATATTATTACTGTTTGTGTTTGTTTTTAAATCGAAATGTTTTTACAATATAAAGCCCTAAATTTATTATATACACATATATATATATGATTTTTTATGTAGGGGAGAGTCGGGTAGCCCCGCCCAGCGGGTACCCCCGCCCACTGTCAATTTCATATGAATAGAATATTTTTTCAAGTCAATGGGCCATCGGACATTAATTGTTATATTACAAAAAATTATTTTCAAAGATTCAAGTATTTATGCAGCTGGTAACATGGTAAACAATAGTTTTGAAAATATGTTGAATACAGTAGTCATGAAATTAAGAAAAATTGGTTGAATGTTTCGATTAAACTTCATTTTAATACTAAAAAAATAATTTTTTCTATACATACAGCATTAAAGTATGTAGTCTTAAGTTTAATTTGCACAAAGAAAGAAGTTTGTATGTAAAAAATTGTTCGAGTAATTAAAGACACTTACTCAAATCTCAATTTATTTTATAGTCTTTTCAGGTAACAGTGACATCTTCTGATGTACTTCGTATTGAATTTTAGTACATGCGTGAGTTTCCTTCCTGTTTTCGACGCTGAACGCTACAAAACCGTAGGGGAGAGTGGGGTCAATTGTAACAGGGTACGATTGTAACAGAGCAAAAATTTCGAGTATCGGGTTCTAGATTTGGTTCCTAGGTGGCACACAAGGTGTATTAAATAAATCTACATGTACACCCCTGCTGGCAACCATTTTTACGTACTTTTGAAAGAGTTACATC